CATTTATCTATTTATGTTCCATTGTAATTTAACCCTACATTTAAGAACATGTTTTATTGTATCTCGAATATATATAAAAAAGTTAATTAATATAATATAATTAATTTCAGCTAGTTTCATTTATAAATAAAAAAACCTATTTTTTAAACCATTGCTCGTTGGAACTAGATATAAAAAAAAGTGTCAACAAAAATTCAATTTTAATTAAATGATGAAAGAATATTTTATGGAAGCATAATTATTAATTAAATAGTGAAATCAATTAAAATTTATTTATATTTAAAATTAATATGTACTACTCTATTTTTATTTAATAAGACCCAAATCATATTGTCTTACATATTAATTATCTTTAAACTAAAGATACTTCTAATTAAAGTGTATTCTCTTGATTTAGTAAAATACAATAATTATAAACATTTTAAAGATTGTCCATTCTAATTGATTAGGAGAAAAAAAAAGTATTAATTAGGATAAAGAAATAGTATAGAATATATACTTTAATTAGTTAGAAGATATATAAGTATTAATTAGAAAAAAAATATAAGAGTAATTTAAAAAAAACTCTTGATCCCATAATAAATGTTGTATTAAAAAAAAATTATTTTCAAAATAAGTGTTATATTGTTATGTTATCTTTTCAATATGATATTAATTGTTTATTTTCTATTTATATCCTTAATAGTATTATGTAGAAAGTGATTATTATGTTACATTATATTTTACAAAAAAAATTATTTATAAGATTATATTTATAAAATTATTATTCTCTTTCATTTATTTAAACTTTTGTTAATTGTATAAAATAATATAAGAGGACACTTATCATAAAATTGATAAAGTATATAATCGAAACAAATTTATTATTATCAAACAAATTAATTAAATTAACTATTTTTGAATACGATAAATCAGATAATTGGGCAACAAATACTTGTGTTTAAAACAAAGTATTATGTACGAAATAGTTTTACATTGATCAATTGGAGCATATATCTTTGCATTGTACTGTATTACTTTATGCGCCAAATCCAACTATTTTCATGTTGGAAAAAATCTATTTAAAAGTTTTATGTCGAAATGACCTTCGTTTTCTGCAACATGACTATTTTCATTTCAACTTATTCTTCCTAGCTAAAGATATGCTGTGAAAGCATTCAATATAGGCTACTTTAAAGTGTCACATGGTTGCTGACATCATTTCCAATAATGCCTACTCATGCACATAATAATAAAAAGATAATCACTCATACGTTTAGTATAATTTTTTTTTTATATTAACAATTAATCATATTTTTTAATAATAACATGTCATTTACTTATTTAATTAAATAATAATAAAATAAAATAATTTAAAAAATATGATTAATTGTTAGTGTAAAAAACTTTACACGGACAGTATATAAATGATTAACTCGTAACATTTCCTTCACTAGTAAAGCAAGTGCTATTCAATTTTCCCATTATTATTAAGCCCACTTCTTTCTCACAATCCTATTTCTCAATACCTTTTTTCCTCTTAATTTTGAAACAAAATCATTCCCACTATTTTACAATTAATATAGTTTAAGATTCTTTCACACAAATTAAGATCTATGATAAATATATTATTTTTAATTATGATAGTTGAATAATTTATAAAAAAAAATAAATTAAGAAAGCATAACCGTTAAACAGTTGTATTATAATTATTAAATATACTACATTGGAGCTTGAAAGTAGTTTAATAAGGAGGACGTAGAAAACAATGGATGTTTACATATTTTATTGCCATGATATATATACCAACTTAATAATTTATTAAATAAAGTCGTATTCTTACCACTCCTATAAACAATTGTAGTATATTAACTTTCAAAATTGAAAGAAAATTCGTCTGAGTTTCCTACTTAAAGCGGTGTTTTTAATGTGAATGGGAGAGTCATAAAACCTCCCTATTTTATATTTATTTGAGAGATTATATATACTAATACAATAATTTATAATATTATTTTTATCTTTCATTATCACATTATTTATTATTGATCAGAATGTATTAACATTAAATATAAATTTAAAAACTTACACTATTTTATTTTAGTATATAATATAATATTTAAAATATGTATAAATATCTATTTTTAAATAAAATATTTAAAATTTTTAAATTATATAAAATTTAATATATATAATCTTAAACATAATATTATATAATTCATAGATTGAATTGTTTATATTTATATTATATAAAAATTTATTAAAAATATAAAATTTGACTAAATTTTTAAATATGCATATGAAGTCAACAAATCCCAACTCATTTATTATATATCATGTAATTTAATCATTGGAATCAAATTAAATTTAAATTTTTTTATTATTATTATTATTTTATTAAAAGAACATATTGTGTACTTCTCTTAGTTATAAAATTTAATCATTGCACAAATAATAATTTACTTTTTTTTTAATCAATCGTGTTCCTAGAAATGGCACTAAGTTGGGAGTTTTATTTTATTCGAAGTTGGAGGCGGAACGAATAAAAAATTGTTGGAGCGTGGTTGTGTCTGGTGTGCGTGAGAACAGCACATAGTGTGCTTTTGTTTTCTTTGAACAAAATAAATAATGAAATATCCTTTTACATAGAATTGTCACACCAATAGATATTTTCTTAGTGCACCCATCACAAACCTCAACAGAGAGGTATATTACACACAAATTCTTCTACCAAGCCAAAATATGCCATTTTAAAAGTTACATATCTTATTTTTCATCCTTTTTTTCTTTTTTTTTATTCTAAGATTGCATATCTTAAATTTTAGTTTTAGTTAAAGCAACAATTGTCATGTAAATTTTAATTTTAGTATTTAATGTTACATTAAATAAATAATTTATAGTGTAAAAGACTTTTATACTGTCTTTAAATTATAGATTTAAATGTGTTTTTTTTATGAATTGTGTAATTTTAATCTTTTATATTTTAATTTTTTAATATTATAGTGATGTAATTTTAATTTTTAATTTTTAATTAAATAATTTTAATCTTTTTAATATTATTATTTTATAATTTTAATTTTTCAAATATTATAACTATATAATTATTTATCAGAGTAATAATGTAAGGTATCATCGTACACCCATTATTACAACTCACATCTTGTTTGACTTAGGCTTAAAAGCTTTGGAATGGAGGATTGGACTTTCCCATGTATGAAATGGAAAAATAATGAGAAAATTGTTTTGAATTAAATGTGAGTAGAGTTGAATGTAGATTCTTTTAAACACACTCAATTGATGGGAAATTTCTGCTTTCCAATATTAACTAAAGAAAGGTGTGTTTTCAATCAAACAAAAATACAAACAAACATCACATGTACATGTACTCTCTCATTGGACTCCCCCATTTCTTAAATTTTATGTATATTTAAAAAAATGGCTATTTGTATTAAATTTTATTATTTTTTTAATATTATTTTTAAATTATTTTTTTTATAAATATTAAAAGGAGCAATCTTCAATTAAAAAGAATTTACTATCCCATTTTTATATATATAAATTGATTTTTTAACTCACAAAAATTTTAAAAAAGAAATATTTTTACTGTATAAAAAGGTAATTAATTTAGTTGATGAAAATAAATTTATTTTGTTTTATTTTTTCTAAAACTGTCCTTAAATCACTTCTCTTTCTTAATTAATACTCATGTATATCTTATAATTAATTAGAGTTCATGTCCTATATTAAAATAGTTTTAGATAAATATTAATTTTTATTTAATTAATAAAATAAAATTACTTAAATATCCTAATTTTAAAAAAGGAGTCTACAATTATTATAATAAATAAAGGATAAAAAATATCTTAAAAAATATATAAATAAAAATATTGTGTATGACGTTTATATATTATTATAGATAAATATAAGAGAGAAATATATTTAAACTTACATTTGAATTTAAGAAATATATACTAATAATTTATACCTACATATAAAATAGATTATAGCTATTTTTGTCTCTATATTTTTTATAGATGATTTTATCTTTACATTTTTAAATAATAAAAATAATATTAAAAATTAACTACTTTTGTAAGATTTAAAACTCAAATTCAAAATTTTGAGATTTAAAGACTAATCATAACATCAATTAGTTCAACAAAAGTTAACAATTAAACAATTTTGTTAAATAAAATATGGAGATATAAGATGTTTTGACACCGCTAATAATAGTAATAATAATAATAAATAATCTATAACATATATAAAAAGGATAGTCTCATTTGTTATATACATTTTATTTAGGTAATTTTATTCTTAAATTTTTAAATAACAAAAATAATATTTAAAATTATCTATCCTTACAAATTCAAAATTTAAATAGAAGATTTTGAAATTTGATGGTCACATGTATAATACTAATTGATTTAGTAAATATTATTAATTTTAAATATTTTTATTAAATAAAATATAAAAATAGGATGAATATCGCTAATAATAATAATAATAATATAATAATAATAATAATCGAATATTCTTTTAAAAGAAAACAAAATTCGAATTTTTGAGACGCTGCGTAAGGGAGAAAAACTAATGGTATAATATAACTTGAAAAGGAATAATTTTTAATAATATGAAGAAAAAGAAAATAGTATTAAAAAATGCATGCATTATGAAATGAGGAAAATGCAAGATCCAATTGATATAAAAATATTCGAAATTGCATGGGAATGAATGCAGGTGCAGGAAGCGCAGAGAGTCCACGCTATCGAGGTTGTTGAGCACGCGAGTGGGTGGCGCGTGGATGAGACTTACGCAGAGCATTACATAGTATAGCATAGCAATAGCACAGTGCGAAGGCAAAGCGCACTTGTTTCGTTTAGTTTTAGTTGATCACCGTTCACCTGCCGGTGACGGAATTCAAAAACACCCGCCTCTTTCTCTCTCTCTCTCGAGAATCTGTTCCATTCATCTCCTCTCGCTTCGATTCCCATTCGCTTTGGTAAGAATTTGATACACCGTTTTCGTAGTCGTCTAGGGGTATCTGATCTCTTGTTTTGCTTCATTTTCACGTTTTTTCCTTGCCTTGCTTCTCTCCTCATCGCATCGCATTGCCTAACTCCTCTTCCCTCCGATTCCACGCTGGTTTTCCTACCAACTCTGTTCCTCTCTCTCACTCTTTTTTATTTTATTTTTAAGTTTGTTGTTAATTCAATCGATTTTCATCTGTGCAACATCGTTTGTGGTGTGGTATCAATCTGTATGCCTATTCCCGTGACTATGAATTGCTTTCATCCTTTCTTTATGTGCTGTTTGCTGAGAGAAAGTCTTTCATCATCGGTTTATTAATTCCTTTTTATGTGTGAGAGAATGAAGATGTTCGCCTTTCTAGGTTTTTCCCTTCTTCTTCTCATGTTTGGTTTGTAAATCGAAGCCATAGTCATTATCTTTTCAAATAAGTGAATTAACGAGTGTTAGAAGGAAAGATGAATATGAGGAAGCTATGCTCATGCTTTACACTTTAGCTTATGATAAATTTGTGTAGCAGTGAAGGTTGTCAAATTCTCAAGCTAAAGTTTATGATCCCAAGTATCAAACTCTGTTTTAGATAAACTTTTTGAACAAGTGTAAACTCCTTATAAACTCTCGAGTCAACAAGTAGGTTAACGAATTTGAAAACAAATGTAATTTTTGCCTCCCATTGACTCCATAGTGTGTGTTTTACTATAACTCCAATGATTTGAAGAAATTAACTTATTTTTAAAATAATTTTCTCTTTAGGAGCTTATGGTTTTATGAAATTATGTATAATTTGATCATGTATGTAGTTTAATTTTATTTAGTACTAATGTACTATAACGCTATATTATTGTAGCTTATTACTTTACCTTTTTATGGAGTTGAAATGTTGAATTATTTTTTTGTTAAGAATAACATGTTATACTTATGCATATATTTCATTACTTGTTTTTTTAATATTATTTTTATGATAAATAAACTCTAACAAGCTTACAAGTCAAGCCTACATAAGTTTCAGGAGTTTATTGCAAAAATGAAAGATTGGGGCTGAGTATTTCAATCTGAATTTGAGGTTTATTGTCTATAGTTGGACTCTAATGCCATTTGTAGAGTAGGTATTGTGTAATATGAAAGAAAGGTAACATTGCTATGGTTGCATAATGATCACGAGTGGTGGTTCCTTGTTGCAAATGGCCTTTAGGCCATTGGTTTTTCTTTTTCTTTTTCTACTACAAATGAAAATAAACGCCTGACTAACTTATTGATCAAACAATAATGGTTTTGGATAGGGTAGAGAGAGACAGAGAGGAAGTGGTTGTGACTTCATTCTGGACCTAAATCACTGAACTATGAATTATTATCAGACATTGAATATCTATCTTACATTAAAACTTTGAGGTTTATGATCAAATGCAATGATGATTTACATTTAGTATGTTTCTGTTTTTACTTGTTTTCAGGATTGGACATGCTTTTTTATCTAGTCTGTCTTTGATGATGATGAGGTTTTATAGTCTTCAGAAGTTCTTACTAGTGAGTTGCTTTCATTTTTGAGAAACATTTTATATTACAGATTAGAGTACTTTTTTTCTTTCACAGATCTGAAGATTGATGACAAATAGTCTGGTTTGGGTATCAATAACAAAAGTCAAGTTGAGTAGTATTTTTCTGGTGAGCATTATCATGAGGGAAAATGAAGGGTTTAAGATTTTATAAATTGACTGAAAACTGATATTTATCCTTTTAATCATCAATGAAGGAAAATAATGGAAGCACATCCTACTTTCTCCATTGAAAGATCAAAGCAACTCAATAACATGGGGATGTCTGGAGCATTTTCTTCATCCTTGTCAGTCCTTCCAATACCCCCGGAAGAGATGTATCCCAAGCTGCCTGAATCACAGTTGGATTTTGTAGAACAAGAGCTTATGACAATGCCTCTTACTCATTCAAGTTATTTAAATTCCAGTGGAGTAGTTGGGCATATTTTTTCGTCTTCACCTGGATATTCAACTGATCTTCATCATTCATCTCTTTCACCTGATGAAAAAAACTCAACTAATGCTCATTTTATTTCACAATCATCAACTAACACAGCCCAATTTCCATTATCTTATTCTTCAAATGCTGGACCACCAACTTCAGCAGCACCAAGCCATTATTCCAAAGAAAACAGTGCTTCCTGGCATGCAGATCCCCTGCCAAGCTTTCTGGATTTTCCTGAAAATGGCTCTATTAATAATAATCGGGTAGAAAGTAGTGCCTGCCCTATCATTCCATCTGAGGAGTATTGCAAGCAAAATGATTGGCAGGAGTGGGCTGAGCGGCTAATCAGTGATGATGAAGCTTTGACTTCTAATTGGGATGACCTTCTTACAGACAACATTCAAGATCTTGAGCCAAAGGTGAAGTTTTTCATAACTCAAATCAATATTAGCTTTTATAGGAAACTGATAAGTAATTTATTCAAGCATTGTGGAAGGATCTCATATTGTTGCTTTAGGTGCCATTCCAGGTTTCAAAACCATTTTCACAGTTTCCAGGAAATCAATCCCAAGGCTATCAACAACCTCCTGCTGCATCATATGGAGAAAATTGCACTGGTGCTGCCCTCGCTTCCTCGGCAAATTCTGCTCCTGCCAAGTCACGAATGCGTTGGACACCAGAACTTCATGAGGCGTTTGTGGAGGCTGTCAACCAACTTGGGGGGAGTGAAAGTATGTTCATCTCCTCTTTTCTGTTTGTTAAGTCCTTAGCCTTAGTTTGTTAACCTCTGTCCTCATTTTTTTCCTGGTTTCTGTCTTATTTCTACAGGAGCCACTCCAAAGGGTGTGCTGAAGCTCATGAAAGTTGAAGGATTAACTATATATCATGTTAAAAGCCATTTGCAGGTATGTGCACTTTGCTTTTAACTCCCATGGGTTTGTTTGGTTGCATGTGTTTTTACTGAAACAGATTTGGCTTGAAATGAAGAAATACAGGACAGCTAGATATAGACCGGAGTCATCTGAAGGTACATAAGATATGGCTCGAAAAATATATAGTATGTACTAGCATGCTTATATTAAATATATGTTTTGTTTGAGTTTAGTAGTCTCTTGATGATGGCTTAAATTAAAACCAATATTTTACACTGCAAAATTTAAACTGTAGGATTAAACGCTCATATCATGCAGATCATTCTCGATTGGAAACTAGTTTTTCTTTAACAAGCTTTTCAAACATAAGAAATTTTACTAATTGATTTAATACCTATCAGTACATAATATTTTGTGTATTCAATGGTCATATTAATGCAAATAACCTTGAATGAGAAGCTATTGAATGGTGTAAAGTGCTTAATCTCTTGATTGATATACAAGTTTTGAGTAAGATTCAAGTTCACACAGATTCTTTTCGTATACTCTGCATAAATTAGTTGTGAAGTGCCTAAATGTAGCATTATCTTTTACACATATTCGAATATACAGATAAAATTAAAGCTAAAATATATTTTTTCTCTTTATAATATATCATTGTTTTCGTTTTACCCTTTTTTTTCTTCTTATTTGTGTCCCAATTAATTTATCTATTTCTTTTGTTTCATTTTAGTCCCTCTAGGAGTCTCTATTGAATGATGATGTGGTTAACACAGATTGAAGAATAAACCTAATGTTTCCTAAAAAAGCTAGGACTAAAATGAAAACCTTCCAATATAAAAGGAATCTATATCAAAAGTTCACAAATTTATAGGGACCGAAACAATAAGGTAAGAGACTAAAATGGAAAATAACTTAATAGGGACACAAAAAAAAATAAAATTAAGAGGATCAAATCGGAAAGGTGCTTAAATATTATTAGGATTAAAAATTTATTTAAGCCTAAAATTACTTTTAGTAAATGACAACAAGGGGGTGTAGCAATTTTTTACTAATCTAAGCCTCTAGGATCTTAGAAACCTGTGCTTAATCAAGAAACAAAAAATTACCTTCTTATTTGTCCGAAAAAATTGACCCAGACCACTGCAATTAATGACTGGATGTGGTGTATCTTGAGTCACTTCCTTGAAACCTAGAGCGATACTCGTCTGTGTCGTAAGCTAATCTACAGTTTGTTGACTACTGTTGGCAGGAGTTATGGAGAAAAAAACAAGTTCCGTTGAAGACATGTCATCTCTTGATTTGAAAACGTAAGTACACTATTTACTGCTATTTTAAATAATTTCAGTTATGTAGTATTACGATAAATGTTGATGTTGGTATTTCAAATTGATAGACATCATTTCATTCTTTAACGTGACTTTGCTGGTACAAATGTTACATTCTCAGGAGAATTTAAATTGATTACGTTACATGGAATGTACGATATGTGGGATTTTGGAATTTAGCCCTGTTAAGTTTATTTCTTCTGATGACAGTTATTGTTCCATATCTCACCATTTAACCCTAGAAGAATACAATTAAACTCTCAATTAAGGGGGCGTTCAAGAATGGATATAAGGGGATTAAAATAAAAGAGAAAGAGATTACTGTACCTGTACCATCAAACACGGGCTGCTGGAAGGACCAAAATAGATTAGAATGAGGCTTTGCTAGTGACTTGTTTAGAATTTTCAGTGATCCGGGATTAAGACTACAATAAGGCCAATATATGGTTTTGTTATGATATAGAATAAAGGGAATTAGAGTAGTTATTAATTCAAACTTGCTAGGTGAGCCTTTATCATGTAAAGTTTTTGATAACATTTCAGATGCGGTAATTGTTATGATGACTTTACCGTTGCATTATTGACAGTGGTATTGAGATCACTGAAGCTCTACGACTACAAATGGAGGTTCAGAAGCGGTTGCATGAACAACTTGAGGTTTGAACTTTATTCCTCTAGGATTTCTTTTTACATATTAAATGAATTGTTAGAAGGGTGATTCAAAGATTTGTTCAACTTGCAAGCTTTATTTCTGTTGCAATCAATATTTTTGAAACTAGATCGGTCATTAATCATAGGAACAGTTCACTAGTCATGATTGAACTGTGGTCATGACATACACTCACATTCACAGAGAAAGAGGTTGGGGGTTCATAAACTTGCAACGATGCTATACGTTGCACCAATTCTTACACCATCAGTAACTTTTATAAGGGGGGAATTTTATTAATTCAGCCATTGAATCATAAACATATATTACTTCAATTGTTTGTATTAAAATTTGTCAAAATTGAACAACTAATAAGCATATGATCAAAAAATTCTTTATTAAATATGTTTTTTCAAAAAATTATATAACATCAATTTTGATATATATCAATGGAGTATTAAATATTTTTAGCTTAATATAAGATTTTGCAAATATAATACGAGAACTTTCAATCTAATGATAGATTTTAATGTAAAATTATCCAATAAAAAGTTATTAAATAGTATAAGAGATTATGTAACTTATAACAATATAAGTTGATCTCAACTTACATAGATAGATAGATAGATATAGAAAAAAAATTAAATTATTCTAAGAGTAATTCTTGGTAAAGTTACCGAGTTTAATAGCTTTTAAAATACATAAAATTTTAAGAATTTATTTGTTGAATTCAAACTTCTTATTAAATAGATTAAGTTAACAATTTTTTTTATAAAATTTAGAAACTATTTAATATTTCATTAAACAAATTTAGTTAACATATACTAATTTTTTTAAATATAAGTAAATGTTGACCCTAAGATTACATAATTATAATTGTTTGATTTATAAAATATTTGGTGCATGATTGTTCGAAATAATAATAGTTAATGCACTAATTGGGTGTTTGGTTAATGGTTCAACATCACATCAAAGGTTACTTGCATGTTGCATCTATTTGTCACACTTAAAAATCTTCCATTGACTAGTGATATAACTAAAATAGAATATATATAAGTAAAAAATAACTCTCATTTTTGAGCTGACTTTGGAATTGAGTTAGGCCTAAATTTATATTCTAGTACGGTAACAAAGTCTATCCTAACAATTGTTGTTAGGCCTATGTGGACATCCATTATTGGATCACCTACAAATATTTAGTCTTGCAAACTTTATAATCAAGATATTCAATTTTTGATGTGAAGAGTGTGTATTGAAAATCTCATATAGACTAGAGAAACAAATCCAAATTATATGATCAAAATAAAATATATAAGTGAGAGAAAACTTTCACCTATTAATCTAGCTTTTGAGGCTAAATTATGCTCAAATCCAAATTCTAAAACTCACATCACATATAAGCAAAAGCAACTTTGTACAGCTTCTCAATTTTTATTTTTTTAATGCACATCTGGGGAGTTTAATGTGAAACTAAGCACGCTCTTAGTGTTTGTTTGGTTCCACATTTGGAACAATCAGATGTTAATCTTAACAGATATAAACACAAAATTTCAACATTTTATAGATGTTTGGAGACCAGTACCAAACATGAGTAAAAAAGAGAGACACAAGTTCGAGTTGAAGCTACCAGGAGTAGCTTCTGCACCAACCCAAAATAAAATTTCTCTTTTAGGTACGTTTTTGCCCTTTCCTTCTCAAAGTGCAAGAATGGTTTGCTGAAGAAAGCCTTTGAGCTACCTGTGCCATGCAAAGCTGAAATTTGCCCTCTGAGCTATTTGTTGTGCTTCTGTTAGAGATGTCATATTCTTGGGCAACCCTCTCCTAAATATATTTTCAGTATCACTAATGGTCTACCATATTAAATAGTAGCGCTTAAGTTTCCATGTCTATTAGAGATCTGATGTTCTATTTCTCTCTATAGTTGCACATAAGATAGAGGAACACAATTTTTCAACTACAGCCACACACACCCAAACACGTACTTCGGAAATAGTATGTTAATGTATGACAATATGACATAATAAAATGTATTTAGCGTTAATGACTCGTGAATTTTAGTTTGTAGCAAGTCGTACTTAATTAATAGTAGCATGGAAAATAGTCTCCAATCCATGAAGTCTATTAGGAGACTATATACTTATGCAGTACCTGCTAGACCATATGAATGATATGCAGAACCTGTACGCGACTACATTCTTTTGAATAAGAAAGCTATTTTCATTCCCTAAATTCTCTCTCTCTCTCTCTCTCTCTCTCTCTCTTTCTCTCTAAATTCATGAATGATCGTTGAGATAATATCAAAATATTCACCATTTGGATTATTTGAAATTTAATATATTATATATAAAGGACTATTGATCAGAGTACTCTCAGGATTAATTTGATCCTCAAATAAATATTTATAAGGTGATTTTAAATTCAACATAGGAAGATCATATCAAATCTCCTGCTACATCACAAAAAGAAAAACAATAATAAATGGTAACTATTATGTTACTTGGTGGTTAAAAGTGTCACATTGACCGGTGAATGAAACATTCAAATATTCAACATATGTAAAAATTAAGAGGATGCTGTACTTTTAAGTCTCCATAGAATAGTAAAAGTAGAACATCAAAGCATACAACATACATAAAAGCTAAGAAGTGGGCAAGCCATCTCATATTCTCATTCATTGCATATAATGTCCCTTTATAGTGTGGCATTGGCCTTCCTTTGGCTCAAAAACGTTTTTGGTTGAGTTAATTATTTTTTTAAATGAAAACTCCAAACTGATTGTAATTTTTTTTTTACCAGTTTGGCTGGTTCTATGTGCGTTTAATTTTGTGGGTTTATTGGCCAAATACCAACTCAACTCACTGGTTTTCCAGTCAAACTAGCCGGTTTGGTTTGGTTTTCTCAACCATGGTTGCAATTGCCATGATTATAGAAAATCATGTTTTATAGCACATTGGCACCTGTGAGAATAAATTTGTACTAGTAATTGAAGTCAACTACAAGTGAAGTCTGTGTCTTTGTAAGCTTGGAGAAAGAAATTGAAGGCATGTAACTCTGTTGTGAAGAAAACATTTAATATTGTTTACTATTCATCTTGTTCTCTGTATTTTGGTTCTTATTTATTAGTTGTATTTTTTAATAAATTATCAGCTTCATTTACAGGTCATGCCCAATATATATTTTTGACTTGTTGAAGATACAAATTTTAGTTCTCAAATTTATAACCCTTTCTCATGAAAATTGTGTTATGTCGTTTTCATCTTAAGAAGATCAAAAGAATATGGTTACCAGGCTTGTTATGTAGGCAATTATTGGTATTTATTTCTGGCCGCGTAGGCAAGTACGTTTGTTTCTTTAATTAAGTATGGAACTAATGTCTGTGATATTGTGAATTATCTGAGGCATCCTACTTGTTTCTTTTATGGCGATCATATATCTTTCATAGGTCTAATACTGTTCTTCTCCTCCCCTTTTTTTCTCCGTCAGATTCAAAGAAATCTTCAGTTGCGAATAGAAGAACAAGGAAGGTACCTCCAAATGATGTTTGAGAAGCAATGTAAACCTGGAATGGAAACGTTTAAGACACCATCATCTACCATTGAGACTCCATCTGGAGTGTCTTCAAATACTACGAGAGATTTCACTGCCATAAATGAAACGGAAGCATCACAAGCGGGCCATTTCAGGTCAGGATCTGATCAAGCTAACCGCAGTACCACAGTTGAGGAAGGCTCACTAGAAAAGGGTGAGAAGCCCGATTCTCCCAAAACTCTACATGCTATTGCTAATGACGATAGTGCACAAGCCCCAAAGCGTCAAAGAACAGAGTAAGCCGTATGAATCTGCTGAAGCACAGTATCAACAGTGATAGTACAAGACAGTAATGAATCATGAAAATTTTCATTTAAGAAAAGATTAGGCTGAATGATTGGTCGAGGTCCGTAACTTATGAGTTCCTCCAGCCCCATTGTGGTCAATGAGTGCATTGTACATTTAGCAAGAGATGTTGCCTCAATTGCATTAAAGGCTTAGGTCAAGTTTTGCCGTTAGAAATCCTCCTTGGTAGATAGTTTGTAAATATCAATGTAAACCCTTACAGTAGTTTGGCATACTCTATGTTCTTAGAATGCGGAACACTTCCCGTGCCCTATAATTTACCGTGCCCCAGAAATAGAAAATAATGAGTCAAGTCAACGAGCTTGTAGCTCAACTTGATGATATCGGAGGTTCAACTGGTCACTTATCTTTTTTCTCTCTTTGCTTGCACCTCTAAGGCCTATCAAGTGGAGTATTGAACAACTACGTTATGTATTGGGACTGATTAAGATGGGTAAATTTCGATCTTCTTTTAGATCCTCAGTGTAATTAGAGTCCAGAAATCAATTTAAGAAAATATAACTTTTTTCAGAGCCTATTGTTTTCATTTACACGAGCTAATCTAAAACTTTGGTTAAGAAAAATCAAGCTTCGTGCGGCTTAGATTATCAGGTATTAATCTATACACAATTGCTAAATTATATAGACTTCCATAATAGCTAAATTTGAATTTTATTCCAAAATTTTACCATACAATAGAGCGAAATCGAAATGATTTGTACTATCTTTAATCTACACATGGTCCAGTCAAAACATGACATGAGTGGAAATCTGATCACCAACCTTAATAAAGTAAACCATGTCGCCCCACTACCACATCAAAATTCGATAGGTGGGTCGTCAATTGCAATGAATAGGTGGAAATGCACCCAATAGTAAATTAGTAAATTAGAACATGCGTATATTTATATTCTAATAATATTTGGATCTTTCAAAATCAGGAAGAGCTGCACCAGCAACATATTATATTAATGTAGTTATAAGCATGTGAATGATGGATTCATATATAAATATTTATGGAAGACCGAAAATAACAATGATTTTTTTTTTTTTTTTTTAAGGAACGAGGAGTTTTAATAATATATTTTGAGTTAATCACTTATACACTTTCGGTGTAAAGATTTTTTACACAAGCAATCAGTTATATCTTTTAATTGTGTCATGTTACCGTTAAAAATAAATATTTATAGTGACATGACACAATTAAAAAATATAATTAATTGTCGGTGTAAATTTTTTTTTACACAAGCAGTATATATGTAATTAATTCATATACTTTTTAACCCATTTCTCTTTATCAAAAATTATAAAATTACGAGAGACTTGTCAAAGAAGTGTGACACTTGTCAAATTTAATTTTTTTAATAAATTTCAAATAAGAATATTATAAAAAAAAAATTATTTCCTAACATTTCTCATATTACAATTGATGAAGGTAGACAGTACCTCAGTCATAATTAGCCTTTTTTTTCGTACAATTTTTTTCTCAAAGGGAAAAGGAATAAAGATTATAAACAATATACATTAATTCATTTGTACATATGAAAAAATAAAATTGGTTGGTTGGTTGTAAATATGCAAATTAAAACCTCAGACAGTTCACAATCCATCACAACTACTTGTGCTGATGATATACAAGAATCAATCAATCATAAATGTCTCGTAATTAAGTAACATATATCATTATTAACAACGAGAGTTGTAGCTTGGTTCCAACTGTAGTAGCCAAACTTCCCAAGTCACGTCATGTCGAGAACCAGGGAGATTCTCCTTATTATTCACAATGGTTTCGTATTGTTCCATGAAATGGTGGGGACGTGACGCTGCAACCTGCATTTGCATGAGCATTTCGTTTTATCCATTAAAAATTTAGGAAAGACGCCTTTGAGGCCAAGCAATCTAGAAAGTCGAAACAATAATATTTTATCTTATTATGTTCAAACACTAGATATTTTATTCTCAACTCACCAATCCATCACTTACATCTTAGACTCAAATTAACCCACACGTACGACTTCCCAACTCGCTGTTTGATACATACTTTTCTCCTAATTCAAACACTTACAGTTGATATCTTATTGTCAAGTCACCACCCTATACTCTTCTTATGCATATAAGTACCATATTCTTCTACATTCTTCTCATCTTCCCTTAAATCTTAGTTATTTCCACTCCACTTGGCCTCTATCATATATACATACACATTATGAACCAGCTGGTGGCATAATCACTGGATCTGACTCCCGAAATGAATCCCATGCATTTCTCGCAAGACTCTGATGGCTCATGAGGTACATGTTATTGAGACCCTTCTTTTACTTTTGTTGGTTCGTTGCATGTTATATTTGTTATACTTATATACCCGCTGTGACACAAAATGTTTATTGTTTCCTGCTAGTTTCTCATCTCGTACCCATGAATTGGATCAAAGGAAGATGTTATGTGCATTTCCTTGTAGACCCTATGGACTCCATTTCGGGAGTGAGAGCTAGTGATTATGCCAGCGCAGCTCTCGATGCAAAAGCCTCAGATGATGATCAGTCATGCAATACATAGGATGCTATTCATGTGATAGAGACGCAAAATCATTAACTAATGAATCAGAATATATATTAGTGCATGGAGGGTAATAATAAAATATTCTCTTTCTCATTTTTCTACAAATAAGGTTTTTTTTTTTAATAAAAAGGAGAAGTTTTCTTACATGGATTGAGAAATGACAAAATGAAAGTTGCTCCCACGTGCACGAGACATTGGACATATAAAAGCATTAATTATTTTCTTCTTTGTTTCATTGACGTGCGAGAGAGTGCTGGAAAACATCCTGGCGTGGGAATGACAGTGATGGATCACCACCGGACACCACCACCAGAATATTCATTCAGGTTTGACAGTTTTTTCATTCTAATAAATTTATGTTTGATGTGCATTTCAATGTCGCCGCAAGAAGAATAAGAAGAAAGAAATACACGTTTTAAATGAATCAATGGGGCTATATTAACTTTACATTTAGATAAACTTTTTAAAAACATTTTGTAAGAAAAAAATATTAAGAAAAAATGAGAATAAATTCTTATATAAGCTAAAATTAGATTATACATAAACATAATTAATTTTTAAACTGTCATATACTTTCTCTGAAAAAAATTACAAATTAATTTGTATATAAATCATATCAATTTAATTTTATGAAATTTGTTTCATTTTTTCATTTTTTTAAAAAGTTTCTATGAATAATTAAGTTTATTCAAATAAATCTAGTGACTCATTTCACTCACGATTTTCATGAATATAAGAGGATAATGGATGATGTTACTTAAAAATTCTCCAAAATCTAATTTATTTTTATTTTTATATCTATACTATTAATATAAGATTTATCTTTTTTCTTTTAACACAAATTTTAAACTAATTTATTTATGTGACTACCTATTAATCACTTTCTCCTTCATTGTTTCTTAATTATTTATTCTTTCTTTCATCTACTTTAACATAACATTCAGTTTCCAAACCTTTCATTTATTTATATTATTTATTTAAATAGAAAGTCACGAAATGTGTGTCCATTATAGTCGACAGTAAAAACAATAAATCAATTTAGTATACACATTAACATTTTTTTAATCATTTTTACTCTTATTTTAAACCACACCTTCTCTCACTATATTTTATTTCTTTATTTCACTGTAAGTTTTACTTTTCAAACCCCTCTTTCTTTAAAACATTACATATTCTATTATTTGTATTTTAAAAATACATAAAATTACAAAATAATTATTCTAGTAATCTATAACTATAATAAGAGATCAGACCTTTGACCGTATACAATTTTTGTCCAGTTTTACCTTTCTAACTATTATTTTATAAATCATTATTTTTATTTTATTTTTTTTATAAATGCCACTCATAACTGCTTATACTTTTAATTAACCACATACTATTATATAATTTTTTATTTAAAAAATTTTCCAGAGGGTGTTTTTTTTCTTCCATATTAGTAATTATAATGAAGATGAGACGAGTATGATGATAAAAGAATGTTTCTAATAACTTTAAGTAATTAAATGTGTTACGAGCTTATACGAAATAGCTTCTATGAATTTGTCTCGTCCAAATTAAGTCACATGTCGTCTCAAATTTCTTTATCGTAAGAAACTCCATGCATATGAAAATTTTATCTAAAATTATCAAAATAATAGAATACTTCATTTGAAAGAATATTTTTTTGCATGGTTTAACCAAGATTTATTTCTTTTACCGACTTTTGGTTAAGTTCCTTTTATACCCACATATAAATGTAAAACAACATTTTTAATTTGTGAAGATATAGTTATATTATCACAATTTATACTTTTTAAAATGATTACATGCACATTCTTTTTCACACACACCACGACATTGAAAATCTAATCTCTCGGGTGAAAATTTAAACCCAATTTTTTCCGCTGTTTTTGGAAAATAAAAGCATCGTTAAAATCAAAATACTAAAACACTAAATTGTTCATCCCAAAATTGATAGGTAAATTGGGGTGGAAGGAAGAAAGCGATGGAGAAAAATGGAGAAAAAAAAAATTGGTGGGGAAAAAGGGGGAATTAGAAAGAAAATGAGATAAAACTGAGATGAAGAAAAAATTGGTATATCCTTAAAATAAACCAACGAAAGCCATGATCTTATGTGTATTCTATTTACGTTCATAATGCTTCAAATAATATTGATAAGTAATCAATTAATGTGGCTTTTAAATTTTTTACTCTCCTAAATTGTCAGTAAAAATAATATATATAAAAAAAAATGAGGTTCAAATGACACTGATATTTCTTTAATGTTGTATATTCCCGTGGTACGATATTTTTTGCTTCTTCAATATTTAGTCGTTCATATTTTTTGAATATATGGATAGATTTAATGCAGATAAACAAAAACATTAAAACAAAAAGTTGTATTAAAATATTATTAATTAGGCATATACAAATATTGAAACAACAAAACTATTTTTTCTTTTCTTCGTTTTAGTCCGAAATAAGGGGAAAAAAAATAATGATAACAATTACTTGACCAAGTCAAACCCTAAACTCTAAAAAAAAATAAAAATTAATTTGTACCGTAAAAGATTAACCAAAGTTGTCGTACGTGTTACTTAATTATTAGTGTCATTTTAACATTTTCATGTTTAAAATGACAGTTGATCTGCCATAATAATAATCTCCCACTTAAGTAGCTATTATCTCGGTTAGGTCTAATTAATTATTGCTCATAACTCATTATCTCTACCATACTTCTAGATTATTACCATCCTGTCACGTCCAAATTCAATTAATCAGAAACAATTGTAAGGTCGTTTCACAATTTCCAAAAAGTTACTCCTTAAATTATCTTACCCGCAACTTTTAAGTTTTCACTGCTTGTATATATATATACCTTCAATTATACATATTCAAGACAAATTGTTTAAGATTAAAAATAAAATAATTCGATAATATATTTTGTAAAATTATCATTTTCACTGAAATATTTTTTTCTTTAAATTTTGTTTTTATTTATACAGTTATGTGTTATATATTTTTTAAACCGTATCTTTTAATAAAAATTAATTATTTAAAAAATCTTAAATAAATAACCGTTAATAGAATATGGCCTTTTTAATAAAAACCTACAATGAATAAGTTAGCTATAATTAATGAAAAAGTTTAGTGTATGTTGTTGTTATCAGCTGTCTTGCTCAATAGTGATACCAAGTCTTATATAAGTCTTTCAAAAGCATCAAATAACCATTAATTCATTATTTAAGTATCTAATTAATATGAGGATCCTTTTCAAATAAATATATTTTCCAATAAAACAGCAGATTTATTGAAATGGAGACCACTTGCAGAGGGATAATCTTAAAATGACACATCAGTGTTAATATAGAATAAAAACATTTTTTATTTTTTATTATATAATTTATACCTCTTTAATTAATATCTCTTTCATTTATTCTTTTACAATGTATATGTATATATGTATTTAGGGATGGCAATGGGGTCCCATGCGGTGGTAATAGTAAACTCGTCCCTGCCCCGTTAGATGAAAAAAAATTGACTTCATACTCATCCAATATTCGCGCGGGTATCCATTAAGCAAGTATTCATAAATTTCTTAAATATCCATGGATATTTATAAAATTTAAAAAATTAAAAAAAATTATTATAAATAATTTTAAGTTTATATTTAATGTCATTGAAATATTAAAAATAAAAATTCAGTGTTAATTTTGAACTTGTACTTAACGTTAATTTTGTTGAGATAATAACAAAAATGCAAGATAATACATAAATATATCAATAATTCAATTTTATAATTCCAACGAAAGTAAGCAACTTAAAATACATAAATCTTATTGGTCCAATCAAAGCTAGAAAATTAATCAAATTACATCCAACATAATTTTATAACATGCTTAACACGTGTCGGTAACTTCATCAACCTCACTTTTTATAAGAAAATAAGATGAGAGAATGTAGTTTTAGGGTTATGTGGTACAAAGATAATTAGGATATTTAAGAAATATTATTAAACGGGTACCCGCGGTTATGGATATAATCATACCCGCTCCCGCCCGTTTATAAACGGTAAAAAATTATTCGTCTCCATTATCTGCGAGTACCCAATTAACCTATCTATTTATTATCCGTAGCGCATTTTAGCCGCAAATACTCGCGGGTGCGAATATTTTTGTCATCCCTATATGTATTCAAATATATATATAAGTTACATTAATATAAATACACACCCATCAATCCTGTAAATAAAATCAAGAAAAATAAAAATAAAAGTAATCAAGGGAGTCTTTAAATCTAATTTTTTTTATTTTTAAAAATCAATTTTCAAATAATTTTTAAAAGGATGCAAAAAAGAGTAAGTAGTTAAAAAGAAATAAGAGTCACAGAAATTTTAAAATGAATAAATAAACTATTTGGAAAGCCTATGGAGCCTAGTTGAAAGCAACGTTCAATTCAATGAGTTTGATGACATTATTTTATGAATGATGATGATTTCAAATGCTGTAAAGGAAGCACAATTGCGATGGTTGAATTGCAACCTTAGTTTCCAAATAATTATGATGAATGCATGTCTCTCTTTCATACATTTACTGTGAGTTCAACTTTTTGTTTATTAAAAAAGAATTTTGATTGTGACAGTGTTCAACTGTGGAGGAGTCACAGAAGGAAAAGGAAGAAAGAATGAGATTCATGGATTAAACGGAGGTAATGATGTAAATTTACATTATAATTGTTTGAAATTTTAATCATTATTTTTAAGATATTCCCTTAGCATTCTTATCTAAGTTAAATATAATTATTTTATATTATTGACTATGTAATTTTATGATTAGACTCACTGATACTTTATTATCTTCACTTTTATTATTATTATCACATGCGTTATTATTCAAGGTTACCATTATTATTATTATTATCTTCTAAGACTCACAAATTTTCCGATTTTTCTCACATGTAACAAATTAAACATATATACATGTTTCTCTATTATTATTATTATTTCGTAAATTCTTAGGTGACCACTTTATATATCTTCTGAGCTTTTACATTTTTCTTTGAATACTTAGTTTGTTTAAATTTTCTTGTAATTGAACCTACATCAGCCCAAATGTGCTACGGTTGGTTTTGGGTCTAATTAAAGGTTTAGGTGATGCAATTACTTTGGGTTGAGAAGTGGGTTTTTAGAATGTATAGGCCTGTTTAATTTTGTTTTTTTATTCTATTTTTGTTTTTAATTATAAAATTGTTACCTTATCTATAATTTATTTCTTTTTTCCAAAGATGTGTACAAGAAAAAATATTTGTATAAGAAAAATTTTATATTCAGTATTTTCTAAATAAATATTTAAAAACGGAAAACAAATTAAAAACATAGAGACAGTTTTATAATTAAAGTAAAAATAGAAAATGAAAATACAAGTAAACGGGCTAAACTTTCCCTCTTTATAAATTAGGTCTAGGTTTCACAAAATTTGAGCCCAAAGTACAAGCCCATAATTTCCAAATTCGTGTATAGTGGGCCATAAATTCTAATTACACCTATTGGGTGTCTCATTTTTTATATCGAAGTCTTTCAATCTAGATTCCATCCAAATAGTTGTAGTTAAGTTATTGTTTGTGGGTTTAATCGTCAAGTATATTATCCATCCGTGTATTAAACACCATCTTAAAAATATTATTATAAAAATTAACAAATTAAGTGTATTAATTAATTTGTGGTTAAGTAATAGAGTAAAATTGTTTTATAATGTCTATATATATATATATATATTCATTATTTTTATGACAATGATAAATAAAAAAATTTCTTTCTATTTTGAATAGATCAATGAATTAAATATTAAATAAATTTGTATTGAAATGAGGGCATAAAGGTGTTCTTGTATTAGGATACACACTACTTGTCCTTGTTGTCGTGAGTCCGATCTTTGGTCTAGATCTTCTTGTTCCTTTTCGTGTAGTTCGAAGTAGGGGAGGGGTGCCTACAAAGACACTCCAACGCTCAAGTGCTCGGCGTATTAAATGCGGTAGTTGAAAGTTAGTTACGTACCTCGTTGAGGGTCTATTTATAGTAGTTGTTATTGGGTCGTGATTAGGGAATGAGCCCTGAAAAATTAGGGGTTAAATCAGTGTATTAGGTAAATTAATCTCTCCTTAATTGTCTTGGCATAACTCCGTAACTTGGCCGACCAAACCGACGACCTCTTACCCAGGCCGAATGGGTCGGTGTTCCCGGTTAGGTCGATCGACTCGGTCGAGTTGAGTGTTCGGCCTTGTCGACTACCATCCGGTATACAACCCCCGCAACGTCAAGGACTGTAAGGACGAAGGCGGTGATAAGTACTCGTGGCACGAAGCTCTGAAATCGGACATTACATGGGCTAACTATAAGGCTTGGGTTCTCGACGTAAGATAAACGAGCAGAGACGGTGCTAGCATGTTAGGCGTGGGGTGTGATGCCGGCCACTAGGAGTCGGGCGTGCATGGTGGTCCCATGGCACAGTGGCTTTCACCGACCTCGGTACTCGGACCTGGGTTTGGTGTTACGCTGGGTATGCATGGGAGGCCTTTCCGACCCCTCGAGATGAGACGGGTCGGTGTTACACAAGGCGTGGTTAGCCTTGCCAACCCCTCGAGATGAGACTAGGGTCGGTGTTATGCAAGGCGTGGTTAGCCTTGCTGACCCCTCGAGATGAGGATGGGCTCGTTTGTGCCACATTGATGGTGGATTGTCTTTCACCGACCTCAGTACTCGGACCTGGGTTTGGAGTTACGCTGGGCATCGGAGGCCTTGCCAACCCCTCGAGATGAGACTGGGGTCGACATTATGCAAGGCGTGATCAGCCTTGCCGACCTCTCAAGATAAGACAGGTCGGTGTTACATAAGGCGTGGTTAGCCTTGTCGACCCTTCGAGATGAGACGGTCGGTGTTACGCAAGGCGTGGTTAGCCTTGTCGACCTCTCAAGACGAGACTGGGGTCGATGTTACGCAAGGCGTGGTTAGCCTTGTCGACCCCTCGAGATGAGGATGGGCTCGTTTGTGCCACGTTGATCATGGACCGTCTCGGCGACCTGAACGGCGGTTGAGAGTCCCAACAGTCATGAGATCTAGGCTGTCCAAGCGTTTGGATCTAACAGCTGGGGATGCGAGGCGTCTTTTCACCTCCCCTTTTTTACCTTGCCTATAAATAGGAGGGGTGTGTGTGGATTTTACACGCTGTAAAATCTCCAAGAACCCTCAACCTTCAAGACTTATCCGAGATAACCGAGCAAGGTAAGAATTTGTGTTATTTAGTTCCTAGTACTAAATGGAGAGAGGTTACTCCTCGGCTAGGAGCTGGACATCGTCCGAGGCGTCGGGTGTTTCAACAGAGAAAGAGGGGTCGGACTCGAGTGAAGTCTCAAGGTTTCCTTCTTTACAATGTGAAGTGGTGTTCCCCTCGGACTTTGCCAACCAAGAGGATAGCGGGGACGAGGTGGTGGAGTTGTCGCCGCCTGTTACGTTAGCGGTGACCTCGGCACGTGTAGATGAAATGACCCCCCGAGCCGAAGCGAGTGGTGATGGTGCGGGTTGGTTTGATGATGTTCGGGACGAGGTCACCGGTCGCGTGAGTACCCGTGTGAAGATTGACTATGGGACGATTGAGATGCCCGGGTATGAGTGGGTAGATGGGGAGGTCGGTATCTATTTTTCCTCTTTCTCTGACTAGGGTTTGTTAGATAAATTTGTGACACTGGAGAAATGCTTCGGGAGTGGGGAAGGAGAGTTGCCCTTGATCGCCGAGGCGTGTCACGATAACGGGCCAGATACTGATTTCGTTTTTTTGGAGCCAGGGTCGGAGGAAAAGGATTATTTCTATGCTTACATGTACTAGTTTCAGGACCTTGACATAAAGCTGCCCTTCGATGATTTTCAGATGGGGGTGCTCCGAGTTCTGAATGTGGCGCCAACCCAACTACACCCGAACGCCTGGGCCGCCATGCAGGCCTTCTAGAATTTATGCCTCTACCTAGGCCTTACTCCTCGACTGCTCTCCTTTCTTTACTATTACATCTGTCGTCCAAGCAAGCCGGCGAAATGGGTCTCTTTGGCCGGCGTGCCGAAGCATGAATTTCTGAGGGCGTTCACGTCCTCATACAAGGGTTTTAAGAGTGGTTTCTTTAAGATCCGCTAGGGTTCGGACATGGACAATTGCTTCTATGATCGGTAGGGGTCTAAAGTATTCCCTTTCTATTGGACAAAGCATCCGACGCGTTTCGAGGCGATGGCTGCGTCTAAGCTCCCTGCCGAGGACCAAGAAATTTTGGATCTCCTTGACAAATTGCCGAAAGGGTTGCCTGTCCGAGGCCTTCTTGATATATTCGAAACTCCAAATTTTGAGTTAACTCTATTAGGTATGTTTTTTTGGCTTTGGTATTGTAGTAGTGTTTTAAATTGATATTAAAATTTGTTTTGTTGCAGGATTAATGACTGGTGTCGACGATGACTTAGATGTGACCGCCATGCTCGCAAACCGAGCAAAAGTTGCAAAGGTGAGCAGGAAAGTGCCACTTGCTCGGTCGGCCTTGAAGATTCAATGTGAGAAGCCACCGAACGTTTTGGTTCCGTTGGGCGACCCCAAGAAGAAAGTCAGATCAGCTCGGGTGCGATCGGCCGAGCAGAATATGGAGACTGATCGCCCAAGCTCGTCGACGAAGCGCTAGAAGCAACCAACCTTGGAGCAGTCAGGTTGCGGTGCCTTCGCCGTGCTGGTGGTGGTGGCCGAGTCCAACTTACTTGTGCCCTCTACCCAGACCGAGAAACTGGTCAGCCTGGACCTGACATCCAACGGCGGGCTTCAATACTTGGAGGGGATGTCTTCGGAGGCCGAATATAAGCTATTCTGTGAGCTTGATGCTCGGACCTCCTTGGTCGCAAAACACAGCATGATGAGGTCGACAATTTGGGAGGGTCGGCTTCAAGGGCGGCTTAGGGAGGCTGAGAACAACCTGCAAGAAGCGTTGACTGCCAATGCTAAGGTCATCGCATCGACAGAGGAGCTAAAAAAGGCCACCGATGCCTATAGGAGGGAGGCCAACGACTTGAAGTTGACTGTCCAGAAACTTCTGGTCGAGGTCGCCGTTGCGGCTGGTGAGATTGCTCGGCTGAATGAGGCCACCGCCAAGTTTAAGGCTGATGCTACCGAGAAGATACTTGCGCAGCACGACGCCGGCTTCCAACATGCCGTCCGACAGGAATTCTATTTCTGCGAGGTTCCCTCATACTTCACGTTCAACGTCAGTCGGGACTTCTATGGAGGGAAGTTTTTAAGTTACGCCGAGTTCCCCCATGGAGCCCAACCTGACGAAGAGGCTCCTCTTCGAGGGATTTCGACCCATGCTGAGGTGCCCGCGACCAGGGAGGAAGAGGCCGACATCGACGTGGTCGGCGACGAGAACGCGGACGACTCAGCTACTGTGTAAGAGTTGGTTCGGGGTGGGGGTAGGTCAGGGTTTAGGATTTGTAACCGGGCCATTAGTGCCTTTTGTAATATGTTTCGGCCATTGGCGCCGATAAAACCTAATTAATTTTTTGTGTAAGTAGCCATGCATGATCGACCATACTTAAATGATATTTTTGGTTTTGCTTTTAACTTTACCTTGCAATGTTCACTAATGCCTAGCTTTATAAATACGTAACCGAATTATATGGTCGACCGAGGAAGTAGGCTTCGCGATAGTGTATTTTTCGTTATTTAATGTTGTGTAGTGTCGGGACTAGGGTACTCGGTTCAGAAGAGATTGGTCAAGATGCTTGTTTCACCGAGGAGGGTACCTGTGAGTCGAG